AAAGCCAGAGAAAAAGAGAGAAAGCCAGAGAAAAAGAAAAAGCCAGAGAAAAGAGAGAAAGCCAGAGAAAAGAGAGAAAGCCAGAGAAAAGAGAGAAAGCCAGAGAAAAAGAGAAAGCCAGAGAAAAAAGAGAGAAAGCCAGAGAAAAAGAGAGAAAGCCAGAGAAAAGAGAGAAAGCCAGAGAAAAAGAGAGAAAGCCAGAGAAAAGAGAAAAGCCAGAGAAAAGAGAGAAAGAGAAAAGAGAGAAAGCCAGAGAAAAGAGAGAAAGCCAGAGAAAAGAGAGAAAGCCAGAGAAAAGAGAGAAAGCCAGAGAAAAAGAGAGAGAAAGAGAGAAAAGCCAGAGAGAGAAAGCCAGAGAGAGAAAAGCCAGAGAGAGAAAAGCCAGAGAGAAAAGAGAGAAAGAGAGAGAGAGAAAAGAGAGAAAGCCAGAGAGAGAGAAAGCCAGAGAAAAGAGAGAAAGCCAGAGAGAGAAAGCCAGAGAAAAGAAAAGAGAGAAAGCCAGAGAAAAGAGAAAAAGCCAGAGAAAAAGAGAGAAAGCCAAGAAAAGAGAGAAAGCCAGAGAAAAAGAGAGAAAGCCAGAGAAAAAGAGAGAAAGCCAGAGAAAAAGAGAGAAAAGCCAGAGAAAAGAGAGAAAGCCAGAGAAAAGAGAGAAAGCCAGAGAAAAAAGAGAGAAAGCCAGAGAAAAGAGAGAAAGCCAGAGAAAAAGAGAGAAAGCCAGAGAAAAAAGAGAAAGCCAGAGAAAAAGAGAGAAAGCCAGAGAAAAAGAGAAAAGCCAGAGAAAAGAGAGAAAGCCAGAGAAAAAAGAAAAGCCAGAGAGAGAAAAGAGAAAAGAGAGAAAGCCAGAGAAAAGAGAGAAAGCCAGAGAGAGAGAAAGCCAGAGAAAAGAGAGAAAGCCAGAGAAAAGAGAAAAGCCAGAGAAAAGAGAGAAAGCCAGAGAAAAGAGAAAAAGCCAGAGAAAAGAGAGAAAGCCAGAGAAAAAGAGAGAAAGCCAGAGAAAAAGAGAGAAAGCCAGAGAAAGAGAGAGAAAAAGAGAGAAAGCCAGAGAGAGAAAGCCAGAGAAAAAGAGAGAAAGCCAGAGAGAGAAAGCCAGAGAAAAAGAGAGAAAGCCAGAGAGAGAAAGCCAGAGAAAAAGAGAGAAAGCCAGAGAAAAAGAGAGAAAGCCAGAGAGAGAAAGCCAGAGAAAAAGAGAGAAAGCCAGAGAAAAGAGAGAAAAGCCAGAGAAAAAGAGAGAAAGCCAGAGAAAAGAGAGAAAGCCAGAAAAGAGAGAAAAGCCAGAGAAAAGAGAAAGCCAGAGAAAAAGAGAGAAAGCCAGAGAAAAGAGAGAAAGCCAGAGAAAAGAGAGAAAGCCAGAGAAAAAGAGAGAAAGCCAGAGAAAAAGAGAGAAAGCCAGAGAAAAAAGAGAAGCCAGAGAAAAAGAGAGAAAGCCAGAGAAAAAAGAGAAAGCCAGAGAGAGAAAAGCCAGAGAAAAGAGAAAGCCAAGAGAAAGCCAGAGAGAGAAAGCCAGAGAAAAGAGAGAAAGCCAGAGAAAAGAGAAAAGCCAGAGAAAAGAGAGAAAGCCAGAGAAAAAGAGAGAAAGCCAGAGAAAAGAGAAAGCCAGAGAGAGAAAAGAGCCAAAGAGAGAAAGCCAGAGAGAGAAAGCCAGAGAGAGAGAGAAAGCCAGAGAAAAAAGAGAGAAAAGCCAGAGAAAAAGAGAGAAAGCCAGAGAAAAAGAGAGAAAGCCAGAGAGAGAGAAAGCCAGAGAAAAAGAGAAAGCCAGAGAAAAAGAGAGAAAGCCAGAGAAAAGAGAGAAAGCCAGAGAAAAAAGAGAGAAAGCCAGAGAAAAAGAGAGAAAGCCAGAGAAAAAGAGAGAAAGCCAGAGAAAAAGAGAGAAAGCCAGAGAAAAAGAGAGAAAGCCAGAGAAAAAGAGAGAAAGCCAGAGAAAAAGAGAGAAAGCCAGAGAAAAAGAGAGAAAGCCAGAGAAAAAGAGAGAAAGCCAGAGAAAAGAGAGAAAAAAAAAGAGAGAAAGCCAGAGAAAAAGAGAAAAGCCAGAGAAAAGAGAGAAAAGCCAGAGAAAAGAGAGAAAGCCAGAGAAAAGAGAGAAAGCCAGAGAAAAAGAGAGAAAGCCAGAGAAAAGAGAGAAAGCCAGAGAAAAAGAGAGAAAGCCAGAGAAAAGAGAGAAAGCCAGAGAAAAGAGAGAAAGCCAGAGAAAAAAGAGAGAAAGCCAGAGAAAAAGAGAGAAAGCCAGAGAAAAGAGAGAAAGCCAGAGAAAAGAGAGAAAGCCAGAGAAAAAGAGAGAAAGCCAGAGAAAAAGAGAGAAAGCCAGAGAAAAGAGAGAAAGCCAGAGAAAAGAGAGAAAGCCAGAGAAAAGAGAGAAAGCCAGAGAAAAAGAGAGAAAGCCAGAGAAAAAGAGAGAAAGCCAGAGAAAAAGAGAGAAAGTGAAAGCGAGAAGGAAGTCAAAGAGAAAGGTATAGAGCAACAGCATGAAAGGGAAGCAGCAAGTTGTAGAGAAAAAGCTTAAAAACAAAGTAGTAAAAATAGAGAAAAATAAGAATGAAAGAGGTGAGAGAAGTTGTAACTTTAAGAGAAACAAGCATGTAAAGTTGGTGGGGATGAAAAAATGATGGGAAATTTTGAGGAGAATAGAAAGCAATGTGCAAAAAAAAAAAAAAAAAAAAAAAAAAAAAAAAAAAAAAATATTAATAAAGACAATGAACTGGTGGGTGGGGAGAGAAGAATGGCGAATTCTTAAACAGGAAACACATTGGAGGGCACAGTGGAGTCATAGATAGCAGAATCAGAGAGTCAAGTTCAAATTCCAGTCGAGTTTGTTACATTGACTTACGTGTAAATATCTTTGAGAAAGTTATGAATCCACCTCTTCCCCAAGCTATGCGTTGAATAACAGTACAGACTGGACCCTATGGCCTTGGGTAGCAACTGGTCCAGAAGGACAATTCTGAATTCAAAACCTCCAGCTATAGGTTAAATAGCCTCACCAACCCACAATTGGCCAAGTGTGGCAAGTACAGATACACCCCTGGTTGATTAGGAATGGGTTCTTCCAGTAGCAGTGAGAAGGCATTGCATTTGGAAGGAATCATTAAAGAAAGAAAGCATAGTGAGATTATTAAGGCCATAATGTCTGACTAGAAAGGATAAGGCAGTTAATACAAAAAAAGTAGGGAAACGGCAAAGGTGACAAAAATCCAAATATGTACACAATGGAATCACAAAAAGGTGCCTTCTAAAAAGTAAAAGTATTAAGAAACAGGAAAATTACATCAAAACAAAAACAAAGTACTGAACGACTACTTCTATGTCTCTCTATATTTCTGAGATGTGGTATTCTAACTTTACGCTATTTATATCATTTGGACTGTTGTCCTCATCTTTATTGCCATATTCACAACATTTTGGCTGTTGTACACTCCAACCTACTTTAGGTGATATATACAATGTAATTTCAAACTGAACACTTTATTTAGTCCATGAGGTTAGATTGTTCTAATTCTATATGCTAAGTTTTTGCTCCCTGTGCCGTGGCCAGGTATTGAACTCAACTCTTTGGGTTAAGTCACTTTTTGGATTACTCAACCAATTGTCCACATGTCCCTAAGAATATGGTTTTTATCCACTGGGCCATGTGTTCATTGAGTTACTAAAGGGAATTAACTGACACCAAGATATCCAAAAAAGACATTGCACATGAAATTAGAACAATCTACCCCCATAAAGGGTTCAGTCCAAAATTCCAACATGTATCATCTGAAGAAGGTTAGAGCGTACAATGGCCAAAAGGTCATGAATAGCAATAAAGATGAAGGAATGATGGGAATAGTGTAAATAATCAATCCCCCTTTCTGGTAGGGAATACAAGACAATTTCCTCACAGATATAGGGGAAGCTTGGTGCAAAACACGGTTCTACAGGAGGATGCAATATGTGAGCAACAAGGAAGTTTTAAAGGAAAATGGAAACAAAAAGGACACTTATAATTGGAATCAAAAGAGTTGAAATTTGAGATGCATAAAGAGGAAAGAAGGCTTGGAAAATCTTACACTCACGGGACAATGATGGTAAGAGAGAAACAGTGAGTAACCTACCTAATGAACTTGTGTAGACAGATGGTAGAACAGAGCCTGGAAGTTATAGCAAAGGGAAAAATATTGCTTTGGGCTACAAAGAATTGAAGTTGTTAAAAATCATGATCATCTAAATCCTGAAAACATGACAATGAAAATAAGGGTAAAAAC